ATGTTAATGTCAGGTTTGTTGTGCCGTAGAAAGGGACATGTAAATTTATTTTATTATTACAGGTTGATACGAAGCGTGTTAAGATTCTTAGCCGAGTGACCTTGAATGTGTCTGACAGTGACCAGCTGCAGTATTTGGTATTAAACAATTGTAACTTACACTCAGTTGTTACATACATTTAACATCATATTTATCAATTCAAAAGACATTCAATAATTTTTTGTCTTTAAATTTAATTGTTTTTCTAAGCATTAACTATTATTATTTATATGTAGTGGGTTTTTTTTAAGTTCATTTTATATTATGAATGTACCCAAAAGTATCCCTATAAAGAAAATCCTCATTTTAAGTAAGCCATATGATGTATTCTGAAGCAGTTGGGCATTTAGCTACTTGTAATGTTACACTACCAAACATTTTCATAGGAGAGACTTTCAGGGGGTGGGGGGGGGGGTGGGGTGGGGGTATACATTTTCAAAGTGGAGGGAGGAACACTTGAGAAATACTTTGATGAACAGAAAGTCATTTGTCAAGGGGTGCACTCATATAAAATGTCTTTGATTTCTTTAGAAATGTCTTGAAATGGAACAAGACACTAATTTTTATGCAACACTCTTCATAAGTTGCAAAAAGTACAGTTGCATAGGCTGTAAAAAAAATTTGAAGTACAGTACATTGTAATTTAAGGTTAAAAAAATTACCAGCTGGCTTTGAATACTCAGTATTTTATGTGGTATAGGAAAACATACAACATACATAAAAATAAGATATAAAAGCAAATTTATAAACATGTAATACATGTGACTTGATTAGACTTACTATTATCCTGATTATGCTGTAAGTTGATTGGTACAGTTATTCTTTAGATGTCCCCAGAAGTCCAGGAATATGACATTGTTGCTGTTAGACCAACCTCTGCTGAAATCTTTGCTGTAAGTTGTACGTTTAAATCACAGTATTCGTATATTTCATAAATGCGTTTTATTGCAGATTTGTTTATACCCTTTTTTAAAGGTCTCTCTAATAGGGTTAAACAAGTTCTCCACATAAAAACAAAGCAATATTGAGTGTTTCCTTTGATTTTGAAGATTTTTAAACATTGAAATGAAGAACCAAGATGAGTCAATTTATTCTTTTTTTTAGAAAGCTGCTAAGTATGTCAATTTAGATATTATACAACTAGAAATGGAGAAAAGCACCAAAGTTATAACACCTGGAGGACTGAGTGAGGTGCAACACTCTTAGTTAGTATATTGTAAAGTCAATTTTATAATGCGAATTAAGGTAAGTACCAATGTGGACTTAAGATACCTGCAGTTATGTTTTTGTAAAAAATTTGGGAAGAGTATTAAAATATGCATTTTCTTTTGGTTAATTTAAATACCATCACAGTGAAGAATGGGTTCCTTCAGTTCCATGGTGTCTGTTTAGCAATATTTTAAATCTTAAGAAAAAGTCACTAAATTGATTGGCATTTAATTGTTAATCCTAATTATTGGAATATTATTGCATTTGAGAAATGTATGGATACCTTACCATTATGTCAGGTTATGGATGTCTCATTATTGTGATACTCTTTGAGTGCTTGTCATTACATGTATGTCAGGTTATGGAGGTCTCATTAGTGTGATACTCTTCAGCGCTTGTCATTACATGTATGTCAGGTTATGGAGGTCTCATTATTGTGATACTCTTTGAGCGCTTGTCATTACATGTATGTCAGGTTATGGAGGTCTCATTATTGTGATACTCTTTAAGGGCTTGCCATTACATGTATGTCAGGTTATGGAGGTCTCATTATTGTGATACTCTTTGAGCGTTTGTCATTACATGTATGTCAGGTTATGGAGGTCTCATTATTGTGATACTCATGTCATTACATGTGTCAGGTTATGGAGGTCTCATTATTGGGATACTCTTTAAGGGCTTGTCATTACATGTATGTCAGGTTATGGAGGTCTCATTATTGTGATACTCTTTAAGGGCTTGTCATTACATGTATGTCAGGTTATGGAGGTCTCATTATTGGGATACTCTTTGAGTGTTTGCCATTACATGTATGTCAGGTTATGGAGGTCTCATTATTGTGATACTCTTTAAGGGCTTGTCATTACATGTATGTCAGGTTATGGAGGTCTCATTATTGTGATACTCTTTGAGTGTTTGTCATTACATGTGTGTCAGGTTATGGAGGTCTCATTATTGTGATACTCTTTAAGGGCTTGCCATTACATGTATGTCAGGTTATAAAGGTCTCATTATTGTGATACTCTTTGAGTGCCATTACATGTATGTGTCATTTTGAGATCTCAGTGTGTGTCAGGTTATGGAGGTCTCATTATCTCCAACTCTTTAAGCTCCTGTGAAATCTAGGTCTGATTACATAATAGCTCAAAATAAGGGTTGTCATTACATGTGTGTCAGGTTATGGAGGTCTCATTATTGTGATACTCTTTAAGGGGTTGTCATTACATGTATGTCAGGTTATTAAGGTCATTATTGTGATACTCTTTAAATGTCATTACATGTTGTCAGGTTTTGTCTCATTATTGTGATACTCTTTAAATGTGTTGCCAAAACATGTGTGTCAGGTTATGGAAGTCTCATTATTGTGATACTCTTTGAGTGTTTGTCATTACATGTAATGTCAGGTTATGGAGGTCTCATTATTGTGATACTCTTTAAGGGCTTGTCATTACATGTATGTCAGGTTATAGGTCTCATTAAAGATAAATTTTAAGGGCTTGCCATTACATGTATTGTTGTGGTTATAAATGAATCATTATGTGATACTCTTTGAGCAGTTTATTAAAAAAAATTTCAATTCAATACATGTAGCCCTGCCCTCATAGACAGTTCTATAAAGTGAATATTTATTGTAAATGTTTTTCCTGTTTTATAGGCCATTGAGCTTCGAGGCCCACATGATGTAGCCAATTTGTATCCTTCACAGATTAATGTCAGAAATCAATCTTTAACCTCTTGCATTTAATCACATTCTGATAAGTAATTATACACCAATATCATAGTCAACACAAATATGTTAAACACCCATGTAACACAAAGAAATATATAATGAGAGCTTTGATGTTTTCAACCTTCGAGATATTTTTGTGTATTTTTAAAGTAAGTGTAGAGAATATAAACCATGTTCCTGAACTCTTGTCAGAGGCTTACTGTTTGGACTCAATGAGACCCAAGCCAAAAACTCGGTCTCTAGAAGCTGTAGAAGTGTGCTCCTCCACGCAGGTAAGATCTTCATCTTATTTGTTTATTTATTTGTAACTGCTGTATGTAAATAAATTGTTGTCTTTAAAGTAAAACACTCTATTTGACAGATTTTTAAGGTTTAATAAAAAAAACAAACGAACAACTGAAATAAACCATAACTTTTAATGCTTTCGAGAAGTTTTTGCAAGATTCGCGAGAGCCTCGTCATTGCGAATATTCTCACTCCTAACCAGTCCTTAAAGTCTTCATTTCTATAAATAACAGATCCAAAATAGGCTTGATAGCAAAAATTAATTGTCACAAACTAGTTTACCCCCAATTAATCACGAAATATATTCGCATATAAATATATTACTATACAATATAATCAGATGCTATTTCTTTGTGATTTAAACACCCTCCAGAGAAAATAAACTATTGATTGTTAACTGAACTCTTGTCAAGAAAACCATTGTTTACCCAGGATGCCCTGCCAAAAACTAAATAACTAAACCTTTAGTGTGCTGTCCACGCCGGTAAGATCTTCAAATTATTTGCTTTATTTATTTGTACACTTCTTGGTATGATAAATAAAGCATGCTGCACAAAACTAGCAGTCTAATTCCTGAATATATATTGTTTAAAACCCCAAACAACTGTAAACCAACTTTTATTTGCGTCCGAGAAATTTTTGCAAGATTCGCGAGAGCCTCACCATTGGATATTAACGAGACTCCGAAGCGTCTGAAAGTCTTCATGTCTATAAATAACGCGATCCAAAATAGGCTTGATAGCAAAAATTAATAATGATAAATTTCTTATATACCCCCTTGTAACTACGAAATAAAGTCGTCGCGAATAAAAGTTGGCCAATGGTATAATATATCCAATAAACAAACCATAGAAAAAAAAAACTATTGTTAACTGAGGCTGTGAAGAAAAAACGTCATGTTTCTACCCAGGATGCCCCTCCAGAAAATGATAACTAAACATTTATTGTGAAAACCACAGTGTGGTGATCTCGGAAAGTCGGATCAATCACGTGATTGCATGAATTCAATAGTAAAATTAAGTGATACGCGTTAGGTATATAATAAATTATTTTGTTATTCTCGACTATGTGCAGTACAGTAAAACAAACTGAAAGCACAAGCACCTGTGATTACTGGCAGTTTGTTAGAAGCAAGTTTTACTGTATTTAAAGGTTATAATATAAGGAATCATTGCTATCAGTGCGACATTTTCTGGATGTAAGGACTATTATTTTTTTTAACAGATTTATGAGCAGTCAATTTATAGAAATGTTCTTGTCCTTATTTTTGACATATGAAAACTTTCATTTTCCACTGATGAATAAATTTCTTCTTAAAGTATAATAAAAACAATTTCTGTTTACTGTACAATGAAAAGTATAGGAAAAATGTTTTATCTACATGAAAAAACTGTAAATTCAAGAATATGTAGAAGCCAGGAAACTTGATTAGTTTGAAATTGTAAAAGATTCTTAAATGAAAAAAAACACAGTATTACTTGGAAAGAAAAGTTCTTTGCATAGTGACGTGTACACATATTACAGAGTCATTTGGCCTTCGTAACAGTTCAAGTTTTTTCCGTTGTAGAAATCATTACTGTTGCATTTATGTAAACAGCATCAGAAGTTACAATTAATTTTTTATTGTTATTTTATCAGAGGAAAGACGGGCCTTGAAAGCTGCAGTGGCACTGTCAATCGGTGACCTTCAAGATGATCAAAAGTGGGTCAAGAACAAATTGAATGAAATTAACTCAGTAGAGACGACAGAAGAATCATCTCCAAAGAAGCGAAAACTTGAATGAAATTCAAAAGTGTTTTATTGATGAAAAAACCCCCATCAAAATGAATGATAGACTTGTAATGTTTTATTCACATTACATAAAAACTCTACAATGTATTGTAAATGATGTGGGCATTGATATTCCGTTATCTGTAGAAAAGGAGTGAAAATGAAATAAAGAAGAATATAAAATTTGATGGAGAAAGGTTTGTCATCAAGTTAGGATTTTTAAAATTATTGACTACCTAATGTTGGGCATTCAATGATGTTTTGAATTACTGTGAACAGACAACACACGTAATTGGTTTATCATCAATATAGGGAGGGCATTTCAAACTTCCACATTTGGCCAGCACACTGTAAAACAGGTAGCCATCATCATTTCTTGTCCTCCCATAATCTGCTCGGGGTTGTCGTCCACGCACGTGTAGAATCCCCGTGACTTGTCGTTGAAGCGACTCTCTGATGATATATATCCGTGATATTCTTCTGCTCCATCCCTTCAGACATTGATTCCTTCCGGGAATCATGAGTACGTGTGTTCTTGTTTTTACCTGACAGACTGCACAAGGGACGTCCGTATCATGAAGTTTGTTCCCCAAAAGTTAGTTTCGTACTCGGCACCATGTAAATTGGAAGATGTCGTGGTTTGCTTTGTTTCCCCACAACACATCAAATGTTAGACATAAAGGATTAGCGGCTCCTCCCTTTACATTGTACTTTGTTCCACCCACTTGACCTATGTGTTAATATATGAGCAGTAATAAAGAAATCAAAAGGACGAGGTGACATAACTGCTATCTGGGGCCCCTTTTCCACGACGAATTATGTTTAATCTACAACGATGGACACATGTAGGTAGTTTTCAAACATGAGTGAATAAATACGACGCCCTTTAAATAGTTTCAATAGTTCAGGGGCACATTTTAATTAGAAGGAATACTGCATTATCTTTGATTTTTTAAGACCCTATTATAGCTAAATTCGGCCAGGTTTGTGAGAATATGTTTTTTTATGGCAAGAGAATGGGCGGGTTTTGTCAATAGAGGTATATGCGTGTCCGAGAAGACTTTATATGGCTATTGTTATTATTTCGCACATATATAGTCATTGTTCAATTCGATGACAGAGCAACAAAACATGATGGTTTACTATGTTTACATTTTATCACAGACACGTTTAGGTCAGTTTACTTTTTATCCTTTTCTAAATTTCAAATTTTTATAATGGTCAGCTAAGGCTGTTTTTTACTTTAATAATGCGCATGGATTTTTAGCATATACGGTTTTAGGACAATAAATGTACATGAAACTTGTATATTCACTGATACTAGGAAATACGTGTAGACCTAGCGAATTGCTCACCAAACACGCTACAAAACTTTAAACTAATGTATATATATATTTATCAGTTGTTTGTAACTGTTTTACTTTGATCTCGGAAATTGTACATACGTAGATCTGTGTCTGATCTGTGACCCAAATGCATGAAAAAATTATCGGAAAGCAGTAAAATTCCAAGCATATTTCCCTAGTATTTTTGTGGTACTCACATTTAGCTGATTGTTAAGTTAGAAAGTATCGCCAGTGCCTCGATTAGCATATGAATTTATTTTTACGTCAGAAAATCTAGTTCCGTTGATCTGCTCATGATGGGAAAGGCCAGCTAGATTTTACAATAAAAAAATTAGCATGTGAGCACAGTTGGGTACAATTTTCCCCTTTCACATTAGGCAGATTTCAATTAAATACAGTGACCAACCAAAGGAGAAAATTGTAGCTACGTGGGCTCGTATGTTTTTAAAGGGGATCAAAGAGGGGGGCGGGGTTAAAATGCAATGGGGTGTAAACATGATACCCTACCCTACCCCAATAAAAGAACTATATCTTTCAAATCACGTTTCTATTTTTCAAAGCAGTATTCTATAAAGGTACACATATCAGTGATTAGTTACATACAAAAATTTGAGTAAAATATATACATTTAATTTTTTGTCAATATACCGGGGACCACAAGCCACCTCATCCTTTTATTGCAATGTTTCGTGTAAGTAACATGGTTAGGAATAGAACACTCTTCAGGTTTTTTTTTTAAACTTTTTATGAAATTCATTGTTGCCT